TTCCTTGTCCCAACCAAGCTATATTGTGCCTCTTCACTTCTTGGGTGTTAAACAAGAGCATGAATAGAAAGACAGTGTGATCTTACAGCTCTCTTAATGTGCTGATTTATAAAGAGTCTTGGAAAAGTGAAGCAGTCCTTGAAAGCACAGTGACAATGGTGGTGATAGCACAGCTTCCATGGCATGGAAGAACCCTGGGAGGCTGCATCCTGTCAGTCACAGCTGGTCATGCCCACAACCTCATTTGTAGAAATGCCGTCTGGCAACCCATTGAACAGAAGCAACCAGAGGGAAGCAGGAAGCAGTGAGGGCTAACAGGTTGTTGTATTTTCCTTATGGAGCTACAGCCCAGAGCTGTCCATCCTGCCTCATGTACAATATATATATATCACAGCATCCAGAGTGAAGCTATAATTAATATAGCTATTTACAGTTCTACTGCAAGCTGTAATTAATATAGCTTCTTAGTAAAACTGTAAAATCTTTATATTAGTTTTGTTTTGCTTTATACTGTGGAAAATATGGGAGGTTTTGTGTTGTTTCAGTATTTTATGTTGAGAAGGGATTTCACAAGAAGAGAAGAAGAGTTGAGTGCTGCGTTTCAGACATGTCTTATTTAATGTTGTGACTGTTGTATTTTTATTATTTCATTTTAAAAGGTATTTAGAATCCAAACCAATAACTGAGTTATTTTGGGTACAAAATAACAATAAGGCCACCAATGTGACAGGTACTGAAGTAGGTGCTTAGCATAAATTATTTTATTACATAATCCCTGATTCAGAGAAAAATTATTCTAGTTGCACATAGGAAACTAGAACTCTGAGGGGTTAATATAGCCCAAGTAAATCAATCCATCCACATCACCAATAAGGGATGAGTTGGTATTCAAAACTGGGGTTCTTTCCACCAACAAGGAGGAGTGAAGTGAAAAGACAGAATGGTGGGTGTAAACATGCTAGGACAAATGAGGACCATCACAGAGGTAAGAAGAGAATGTAACAAGAAGCATAAAGGAGATCAGGCATTTGGAAGCAAAAAGGATTTCCTCACACTGGTGCTTTAGAACGCATTGTCCTCCATCACTGTCGTCACTGGTGGCGTCTTGGCTGACACTCTTTAGGCCTATGGGACACCTTGCCAGACAGGCCACTTCCTACCTCGTATACAACCTCCAGAGGTGTAGTTCAAGACAGAGATTATACAGGAAGTCTACCTCATATCCTGACAGCATCCAGGAACAGAAAGGAAACCAGAGTTGAATGTTTGGAATTTAAATTTTGAAGTGCCCCAACGTGTGTGCTCTACTCTGGCTTTGCAGAGAACACTGCAATTGTAATTCACTAGAAAGCAGATGGGATCTGTCATAGGGTGATAAAACATGGGGAGCACAACCAAATGTAAGAAAAAGCAGCAGCCTTTTCCATATGGGTCAGTTTCATTGCACAAATATCTGTCTCTGTGTGTACACAAGTTGGTATGCACCAGAATAGCAAAAGGCAGAGCTAGTATTTATGGAACAGCTACCACATGCTAAGTGCCTGACAGATACTTAATGAACAGAGCAGCCTTGGAATTCGATGTTATTTGAACAGATTCTTGAAAGAAGGAACCTGAGGCTCAGAAAGCTAGAAAGCACTAGGTCACTGGCTAATAAGTAGTAGAGCTAGGGTTTGAGCATCAGGCCCTCAATCATAATGATATATTATACTGGCATTCCTAGAACAGTGGCTGTGAATGGGTAACCTCAGTAGCTCTACATTTTTCACTGCAGGGATGGGGAGAAAAATGAAGACAGGGAGGGAAAGAAAGGCCCGAGGGGGTGCCTTTCTCTCAAAAAGAATTAAGTGTGGTTGGGAGGAGTGGAGGAAGCAGAGATAATCAGAAAAGGAATCTGTAGTAAAGGGAAGGAAGGAAAGATGTAGCATACAGAAATACTGTCTAAAGTTTGAAAGGGAGAACGTAGGTCATGTAACATGAAAACGCAAGGAAGAACGGTCTTGTAAATCCTTTATATGAAGTGTGAAAATTATACACTCAGGGCCCGGCGCGGTGGCGCAAGTGGTTAAAGGTCCTCGCCTTGCACGCCCGGGATCCCATATGGGCGCCGGTTCTAATCCCGGCAGCCCCGCTTCCCTTCCAGCTCCCTGCCTGTGGCCTGGGAAAGCAGTCGAGGACGGCCCAAAGCTTTGGGAACCTGCACCTGCGTGGGAGACTGGAAGAGGCTCCTGGCTTCGGATCGGCATAGTATCGGCCCGTTGCGCTCACTTGGGGAGTGAATCATCGGACGGAAGATCTTCCTCTCTGTCTCTCCTCTCTGTATATCCGCCTTTCCAATAAAAAAAAAATAATAATAAAAATAAATCTTTAAAAAAAAAGGAAAATTATACACTCAGACTTCACAGTTAAAATCAAGGTGTAGCTATTCGAAATTTTCCTCTAATTTATCCTTTCTCTCTTTTTAAAAGATTTACTTTAGGGGCCAGCACAATGGCTCAATCAACTAATCCTCCAACTGTGTGGTGAGCCCATATGGTTCTCAGTTTCCATCCCAGCTGCTCCACTCTTCATCCAGCTCCCTGCTTGTGTCCTAGGAAAGCAGTGGAGGATGGCCCAAAGCCTTGGGTCCCTGAGCCTGCAAAGGAGACCTGGAAGAGACTCCTGGTTCCTGGCTTCAGATGGGCTCAGCTTCAGCCGTTGTGACCATTTGGAGAGTGAAAGAGTGGATGGAAGATGTTTCCCCTATCTCTTCTTCTCTGTATAAATCTGCTTTTCCAATAAAAAGAAAGGAATCCTTTAAGTTTATAAAACATTTTTGAAAATATTTATTTGATTTAATTTGAAAGTGAAATTACAGAGAGAATATTTTTCCATCCAATGATTCACTCCTCATCCAGAGCCTAAGAAACTGTATCATAAAACAATAATAAAAAATAATTTTAAAAGAAAAAATGCGTTTATGAACTTAACTCTGAAGGTAATATAATGTCAACATCTGTGATATGGAACTATTCTGATAACTTGGTTTATGTACATGTGATGGGCATTAAAAAGAGGGCGTACTGCTCTTGCACAAAAACCATTTTTTTTTAATCACTGCAGCTGTTTTAACTCTAAAGAAACCACAAACATTTAATCCTCTGAAACCTCAAGTTGGAAAGACAGAAGACTTTCTTATAAAATACAGTGTGTCTGAAAGTGGTATGGCTAGCAGTTTCCCTACTCAGTTCTTAATTCTTAAGAGTGGAATAAAGGTGCTGAATAGAAATGTTACTTAGTTACAGATAAACTTTTCAGACCAAAATCTATTACATATCTGAATACCCAGTAACCCTTGAAACATTTATCACAGAGGCATTAGTATTGGTAACAGAAGCAAAAGGGAACTCTAGCTCAGTTCTCAGGATCCCTGCGTAAGCTACTGAATAATTTTCTGTGGGCTTTGAAGAGGAGCTGCCAGAATGAAACAGTTGTGTGTTTTTCCCAGTGGCCCAAGAAATTATGGCAAATGTTTCCTTTTTTCATTTTTTATGCTTTAGCAACAATTCTATTTCCTGTTACGTAGGAAAACTATTCTGCTGCTTTTTTAAAAAAAAAGTCAGTGAATATATTTATTACAATGCTAACAGCATTTGGCCCATGGAAATGATTTTTATTGTTCTGAGTCATTCTGGTTCGTGGAATTTTTGCATGAGTTCCTGGACAAGGATGAGATGATATATTTGTTTTACTTTATGTCCTCAGTGTTTTTCTAGATGTGTTAGTATTGTGGTTGTTGTCAAAATATTTCCATATTTTTATTACTGTAGGAATAACTTCGTTGCAGTTATGGCTCCTACACCCTTCATTGACAATTCACTGTGAAAACTCAGCATGATGCATTTTGGCAGAACTACCTGCTTTGCCCAGTGTGGTGCGATCTCTTTTGTTTTGTTTTGTTTTTTCCCTTAGACATATTTAATTTGTTTTTGCTGAACTTTTGGAAGACCTGAAATTAAACTGTGTGTCTCAAAGGGTACTTTGAAGTATTCCCTAATTTAGATTATCTCTGTGCTTTGGACATACCCTTGTATCATAGGAAGTCCCTGAATTCCATTTTTTAGAAAAGACATTCTCTAGTTTCATTGCAGCTATTCTATTTGTTAATGACCTTTAGGTTTTCAAAAATAGACACTCCTATTAACTGAGAATAAACTAAGATCGTTTAGATGTAAGCCTTGATATTTTGGTATTTTAGAAAATCCTGGAATAAAAATCATGTCCTGTGGGTTGAGATTGCAAGTTACTGAGTTACTATCATTGATATTTTTCCATGTATAACTCTGACTGATAAAGGAATTCAAATTAAATTCTGTGCTTTTTTGGAAAAAGTTTAGGGCTCAGATGGTATGTTTCCCACCTCCTTTAACTTGTGTGCCCTGATTAGTCTTGCAACGACTCCTTGACTAACCGTCTTCCAATAGGACTCTAACTGGTCACTTTTTCACAAAAGAAGGGATTATAATACTGACTCAGTCTAAGACTAACAGGAAACAAAATGTCCTGCTTCACTCTCCCAAATGCCTGCAACAGCCAGGCCTGAGCCAGCCCAAAATCAACATCCAAAAATAATATATATCCCCCATGGGTGGCTGGGACACAACTACTTGGTTCTCCTTGAAGCTCCCCTGGATGCATCTTAGCAAGATGTGAGAGTGAGAGTGCAAGTGCAGCCATGAATCCAACCCAAGCACTCCAACATGACTTTCAGACATCCCAAGTGAAGGCCTGCCCCATGTGGGAAGCTGTAAATGGGTAATTCTTCTCTTATAAATAACTATGACTGATCCTAGATCATACTAAAGATAATTAAGATGTGTGTGTGTGTGTGTGTGTGTGTGTGTGTGTGTGTGTGTGTGTGTGTGTGTAGGAACATGATTTAGTGTCCGGACATTTTAAATAGTTGATTATCTTATTAGAAAAGAGTAAGCTATTAATCTGCATCATCTAATTTTTAACAGGTTGACATGATGAAGGAAGCATTAGAAAAACTTCAACTCAATATAGTAGAGATGAAAGATGAAAACGCAACTTTAGATGGTGGAGATGTCTTATTCACAGGTATGGATCTATTGAGTTTTTTTCTATCCAGAATTATGTCTAAGGGGTGGACACTCGAGTTAGTGATAAGAGGCTGCCTGCATGCCTTCTTCCCGTGTCATATCTCAGGGTTTGAGATGCAGCTCTGATGCTGATCCAGCTTCCTGCTAATTTGCACCTGGGAGGCAACAGGTGATAACTTAAGTACATGCGTCCCTGCTACACACATGAGAAAGCTGGAGTGAAGTTCAAGATAATTGTTCCACCCTAACTCAGCATTCGTAATTGTAATTTGGATGCCCCCAGTGAATAGAAGATCTTTCTTTCTTTTTCTTTCTCTCTGTCTCTTTCAAGTAAATTTTTTTTAAATGTGTGTTTCTAATACTTGGCTTTTTTGAACAAATTAGTAGCTGCTAAATTCAAGTAATTTAGAAAATATAGAAAAGCACAAAGGAAAAAAAATGTGACCTTCCATTCAAACAGACTCACTTAAATAATTTCACCGATGTCCTTTTAATACATTTGTACATATGTATTTGCCTCATCTTATGGGATTGCTCTCTGTATGTATATCATCAGTACGTGTCTTGCTTCAATTATGGTATTTATACTGCAAATATCCATTGTGTGTATATTGGTTCAAATTTAAAGGATTTTTAACTCAAGATCAGTGTCACAAACAATTTTCTTTACAGATGGCAAGATTAATTTAAATAATTTTGCATTCAAATTGACTTGGTTTAGTGCCAGATAAATATATTAACATAACTCAAATAAAAATAGCTAATACTATTCTTGATCTAACCAGAATCAGGTTTTACAATGTATATAATATAACTACTAAACAGTTCTTTAACATCAAACTTTTGAATTCTGTATGATAACATTATTGTATTCTGAAATTTGGACAAACACTCCTCTGGATTCATTCTGGTTATATTGCTGGGTAAGATAGTAATAGTAATTTGAAATTACACTAAAAACTTGTTTTCTGCTTAAAGTCAGAGAATAAACACCTATTTCCCTAAAGTAACCCTGACAGCAAAGGCTGGTTTAAGGGATTTGGAAATGTGGCCACCGAAAACATGAAGTTTCTTGGAAATAGAGTATTTCAGCTACAGTGCATTTTACACTGAACCATATAGGTATGGCCAAGTGTTGTTTTGTATTCTTTGCATATGTATGTAATTATTATATAGGAGCAACAGCAATGTCCATCCCACCACATTTCTCATTCAGTGCCATGTGCCTATGGATGGCTGTCACTTGGTATGCTGGCTACTTCAGGCAGCCCCACTCTCACTGTAGACTACATGAACCTATGCTGCCATTACCATTAGCAGGTTTCCACTTCTGGGTTTGGTTTGCACTGCCCACTGAGATCACAGAACAAAGAGCCCAAAGGGCTCTTGCTTCACTCTTAGCTCTGGTTGTTCCAAAGCAGATTCAGGCATTCTTTAAATCTGTGCAGTAAGTTCTCCCTCAGAATATTCTTTGCGTGTCATTAATAGCACTTTCATTCTTTCTGTCAACAGAACAACAGCCAGTTCCTCTTAGAAAATAGGCTTTTGTGAAAAAGTTGAATGTGGAACTCAGACTTCCTTACATAAAAGACAACTCTTTTCTTTGTCAATACAAAAATATATGATAATAATAATACTCCAGCTATAGACAACTACCTAGGTTGCCTTGTACCTTGGCAAGCATTACATTGCTGGAAGAAAAGTAGCAATAGTGGTAGGAATCCTGGGTCTGGTTAATGCCAAATTTGTGTTAACTAAACCAGTGTGCCAGCATAGTAGCCTATTCTGATTTTTGTTTTGTTTTGTTTTGTTGTTTAGTATGTGAGGAAGGTGGGGAATGCCAGGCTAGGACAAACTGTCCAGACTCTAGGCAAGGGGAAGGGTGCTGCAGATTGTCCAGGGAAGAGGACCTTGGGGGTGTACTATATTTGGAGACCCACATGGACATACATCCATCCCAATTACGTAAACAATATAAAACATTAAATTATAATGGTAAAGCTAATTATAAGCAGGCACTGATAGTAGTTAAAGCTTGGTTTAAACAAGTTGTGTTGACAGTTACACAGTCATCCCAGTAGCTGAGCTGATGTGCTCCAAGAGAAGGTCACTTAAATGCTGAGACTCTTTCCTTCATCCAAAGTCTATCCACATCATCTCAAGCCTGAATTTGTACTCTATCTTCTTGTTAGATCCTCTGAAAGACGGCTTGCCTTTGATAGTATCTGTGGGCTTTTTTTACTGGCTGTAGTCAACACATGAGTTCTTATGTTATTAATGATATTATTCAAAACTGAAATGGCCTTGGGATATCTCTCTGCTCATTTACAACTAATGTTAAGTCCTGCCTTCTAGCTCCTTCTTTTCCTTTTTATTTTAATTATAGGAAATGATATATTACATGGAAATTTGCTGTATTAACTGCATTAATTAAATAATTCATATGGTATTATTTACATTCACAACATTATACAACTATTACTGCCCAGTTTTGGAACTGGGAAGAATTGGGTATGAAACAAAATCTGTTGTGCTTTCTATGTGCTCTGTGCCCTGTTCCTTCTACAACTCAGAACTTCATTAATAATTTATCAGGAAGTAGAAAGAAGGAGAATTGCTTTCCAAAACCAGCTCCTGCTGGGAAATCTGTCAGGCAAGAAACAGCTACTGGCAAAAATGATTTTAATCCTATTTTTGATAAACAGACAACAGCAACTTACTTTCACTTCTGTTTATTTATATTGTGAAACAGAGTACATTAAAAGCATTATAAAAATGTTATGTACACTTTAAAAAACAGTAATAAAAAATGAACACCTGGGTTCTACCAGCAGGTTTAAGATATACAGTCTTGTTAAGACCACAAGAAGTCCCTGGTGGTCCCTTAGTCCCCACTTCTGTCTGTTCCCAGCCTCAAGTGCCCCTGCTCTGAGTTGTCTCTGCCTGACCTTCCTTCGAGCTTTATTTCAACATATATATTCTTAAATTGCCTGTTATTTAACTTTGCTAGTAATATATATATATGTATATTCATATGTGTACATATATGTGTGTATGTGTGTGTGTGTGTGGCTTTTCTATCTTTGAGCTAAGTCAATGTACATAGCTGTAACTAGTTTTCCATGTTGATTACTACTCTGCTAAGAATGCACCCCAATGTATTTATTCATTTTTTGTTGATGTGTATTTGGGTGTTTTCTATTTTGTGTGTTATCTTTAATGCTACCATGTATATAAGTCTACTAGGGATATATTACAGAGTTTTCCTAAGGTAAACACCTGGGAATGAAATTCAGAGGATAATGTAAACTCTGTGGGTTGTTTCTTTACTTCAATGAGATGATTGTTTGATGTTTTTCTTTGATCAACTAATGTGGCTAATTACATTAACTGATTTTCTGAAGTTTGATCAACCTTGTGCTTCTGAAATGAAATAAAAGTTGATCATAACCTACTGTATTTTTAAGACAATTTTAGTAATGTTTAAACTTTTTTGTGACCTATGTTTTTTCTTTCTGGTTTTCCTTGTCTGGTTGTGATAAAGAAGTTCTATTAGCCTTGTGAAATGTACTAATGAATATTTCCTGCCTTTATATTCTTTGGTACTAATATTGTTTGAATTGTGTATTTGTTGAAATTTGGTGCTTTCTTTGTAAGTAAGATCTTAAACTTATTCAGTTTTTTGAGCACGGTTTAACTGTTTGTTTTTCCAAGGGGGCGGTGGTGGTTGTTGTTTTACTTTTCCTAAGGCAGTTTTAATGGGTTCCTTTTAACAAGATTTTATCTGTTTACAAAATATTGAATATAACATCCTTCATATATTATTAAGATATGTTTAAGCTTCACAACTCTGATATCCCTTTACATTTGTGATATCTATGCACTCCTTTTTTTAATCAGTGAGTTGTCAATTTTATTTGTCTTTTCAAAAAGCTAGCCAGAACTCTGTATCCTAAATGTTTACTTTCTATTCCTATCTTATTTCCTTCCTTCGGATTTCTTTACTTTTGTTCTGTTCTTTCACCCGAAATCTCAGATTGTGTATTTATCTCAGTCATTTTTAGCCTTCATCTTCTCTGCTATAACCATCTAATGTAGCTTAACTTTCTTTCTATGTACTATTTAACAGACTCATTTTGATAGGAATGTTTGTTATAATTTAATTCTGACTGTTGTTGAGTTTCCCTTATGATTTTTTTTATCCCTTATGATTTAATTACCAAGTCATTAGTGGACAATTGGATTTCTTTAAGAAAAAACAATTCTTGCTGTGTCAGGTTTGGCGGTGAAGATGCTCATGCTCACATTCCCTGTTATAGCACCTGGATTTGATTGCTGGCTCCGTTCTGATTCCACGTTCCTGCTACTGCAGACCTTAGAAGGCTGCAGGCAATGGTTCTAGCAGTTACTGCCACTCGTTGGGAGACTGACTGCCTTGGCATCCTGCCTCAGCCCACCTTTGTAGGCAGTTGGGTCATGAACCAGCTGATAAAATCACTGTAGCTCTCCCTCTCACCCTTGCTGAGTTCTCAAAAGAACTTACTGGCCATTATTGTAAGTTGCTGAAACATCAACTCATTACTTTCATAATTCATATATTTAAAAAAAACACAAAAACTCAAGCATGAGTCCTGTATTTCTTTTGTGAATTTTATTTCTAGTAAATCAAAGGCTTAATTAAGGGAAGATTTTCTTTCTAGAATTTCAAGAAATAAATCCAGATCCCTAAAAAAGTAATTGATCTGTGCACTGATGATCGAAGCTTGCTAAAACCATGGACTTTAAAAAAATAATTATCACAAGTCCCAAAATTATTATATAAAATTCTGATGGGAAACATATGATGCAAAAATCGGGCTGATGCCACCTGAACCCACTGATCATTCTAGTGGGTTCCCTGAAAATGTAATCAGTTACCCCTCACAGTGAATACAGTAGAAGCATAGCCCCAATATAAAGGCATCAGGTCGAAGAAAGAGAGAACTAGAATGAGAATCA